TGGTTCACACTAGACGAAGTTGACGATGGTATTGGTCCGTTCATGGTAAGAGTTCGCGCTATACATATTTATCGAACATCTGCACATGATCAAACGCCACAATCTTTGACGTCATTTTTCATGATGACAAAGTATGATACAGTTTTCCCTCGACTACGTTTCAGTATACCGTATAATGAGAATTATTGATTACATTAACTAACATGATACCGTATAATAATAATAACAATAATAAACGTAATAATTATTATTGGTACCGTGCATAATAAAAATGTAACATGTGGAACTTAATTTTAAATTATGAATTATTAATGAAGTAATTTCGTACCTCATAAAGTTGGTACATTGTAATAAAAATGATAAATGTGAAACTTTAATTATTAATAAGTTAATTTCATACCTTACAATTTTTTGTACCGAGTATAATAAAAAAGGTAACATATGGAAGAATAATAACATGGTAATAATATGGTACCGAATAATAATAATAATAATCATAATAATAAACGTAATAATTGTAATAAAGCTAAGTTAGTTTTGTACTATTACCGTGTATAAAATAAATGAAAGTGTTGACTTGGTTTAAAAAAATGTATTCTCATACCTTATATATTTTACCAAAATTATAAATTATAATATTAATTATTAATTATTAATAAGGTAATTTCATACCTTATATTTTTTTGTATGTGTAATAAAAAAGGTAACATTTAGAATAATAATAATAATATGAAAATAATATGGTACCGTATGATAATAATCATCATAATAATAAACGTAATAATAATCAAGGTATGTTAGTTTTGTGCTATTACCATGTATAAAATAAATCAAAGTGTTGACTTGATTTTAAAAAAATATATTCACACACCTTATAATAAGGTAATTTCATAGCTTATATTTTTCGGTATCGTGCAATAAAAAAGGTAACATGTGAAACCTTAATTATTAGTTATTAAATATTAATTATTAATAAGGTAATTTCATACATTATAGATTTTGGTACCATGCATAATAAGAAAGGTAGCATGTGAAAGAATAAAAAGAATATGGTAATAATATGGTACCGTATAATAATAATAATCATAATAATAAACGTAATAATAATAAAGATAAGTTATAGAGTAATAACAATAATCATAATAATAATAATAATAATAATAATAATAATAATAATAATAATAATAATAATAATAATAATAATAATAATAATAATAATAATAGAGTAACAAATTATAGTAGCTTGAAGATTTCGATATGCAATGAACACAATGTTCCCACAAATTGTACGAATAATGCAGTTTACAAAAAGTCATTTGAAATTTCTAAGCAAAAAACTTTTGTACCTTAAAATAATAAAATCTCTATATTCTATTACATATCATAATTTTTCATTAAAAATGATCTTATTTTAGTAACGTAAGTATGACCCGCGCAGCGCACGGGTGTGATACTAGTTTTATAGGAACAAGAGAGTGCAAGTTGCGAAGGAAAAGTCGCAAACCTCCTGGCAGCGAATCAAAGGGATCTGTCTCAGGTGATCCGGTCACCATGTTTGAACAAGAGCCCTGGAGATGCTGATCTGTGGCTGCGCGCGGCGGAGATACTCAAAACGAAGGACTGACCGGCGATCAGGAACAGAGATAAGCAATGACCGAACACATGGGAAGAAGAAGCCGGACTGATCGATGATGATCGGTAATGACCGCAGAGAGATTGATGGCCAATTTATCCAATCGCAGAAGAAAAATTTGACCAAGGGAAGGGAGTACTGTTGCTGGCCGATGATGAGATGAAGATGATGATAATAATTGAGATGATGATGATGAGATGAGATGATGATGATGGCCGATCAATTTTCAGAGACGATCGAAAAAAAAAAGAAGAGACAGAGACGGGGTTCCGTTACCCAGGCTCTGATACCATATTGACAAATGGGTAGATTGAAAGACACTGCTCTGGAGAAGAGTACATCACAATATATATAGAAAATAGTACTACTACCATAATTAATATTGTCTAACACATATATAGGCTTAGAGTTGGAGGAATCTTGTGAAATCCCTAAGCTTGGGTGACGTTTTTACGATCAAAAATTTGCCTAGTGCGCAAGAAGGCGGTCCTGACATGTTATAATACTGATAGTGACAAATTTATCCTAGTTGGATGGGGTACATTTTTTGGTCCAACATTCACCAAATTGAAATCTGATTGTACCGTTGTGATCAGACGGTCTAACTCTACACAACGGTATAATGTTCAAAATTAATTGACAAAGTTTAAAAATCACTAATTTTTGGGTCCATCTCAGTAATAAATTAATTATCAATTATTTAATTCTGATAGGTCGGATGTTACACTTCGAGAAGAGATCATACCTTCTCTAATGGTTTGAGAACATTGCATTAAGTTCACGATTATGGAAAGTGGGGCACCCTTTAGATGGGTGTCCGTCTAAGTGACAAGCTGAGCATTGGGTTTTAAGAGCTATTCGTAACCTTAAAAGTTGACCTATCATCTGAGTTAGTGTGTTCAAAGAGCTTCCTTGACCTACTTCAATTTCATTCACTCTTTTAACCTCACACTCCTTAGTGTTAATTAAATTGCTGATCATTTTGAGTGCCTTTGAACTATCATGAACATCAAAATTTTTCTTATTCGAAACACCATCAGTTTTAACTTCCAACTCTTTTTCCTCAGTTTCTTTGAAAAGAAACTTTGGCAAAACCTTTTAATTTCTAAATGTTATGGCACTCAAATTAGCTTTAGGATTAGGAAAAGGTTGGGAGGGAAACCTGTTATTAATTGAGCTTGTAAATTGCTCAAAAAAATCTGAGTGGCAAAGTCTTTTTTATTGTTTGCTGTATTATTATATTTTTCATTTTTATTTTGTAATATTCCACAATTATCTTTTCTTTTTGAGATAAGGTTATAGTTTTTATGTTAATTTTTCATTTAATTAAATTTAATAAAACATATTTCTCGTTTTTGCACTTTATTGGTGCATGGATTAAATTTGTTACTATTAATATTGATTTAAACGGTTTGAAAAAAATAGAGTATGAGTCACAAAAATATTATTATAAGCAGTTGCGGATCCAGAAATTTGGGTAGATAGGGACACAAGTGCACAACTAGTCAGAGATCCCAGAGTAGTGCCCCTGAATTTTTTTAAAATAGACAATATAAAACGACAAAAAATAATAAACTTATTTTAAACATTTATTAAATGTATAATATTGTTTAATAGGTAATATAAAATTTTATTACAAACAATAAAGTATACGGAGTATGCAATAAAATATACTTTACTTCAATAAAATTAATAAAAAAACTAAAAACTAACTTAATTAGATAAGATTCCATTAATTTTGTTGGGAATACATAATTCTAGATGGGGTCAACCCCAATTTAGATGGGGGCATGCAGCCCAAAGTATATAAATTTTTTCAAAAAAAAAGGAAATAGTTTAACACCAAATATTAGTAGGGGGCATTGGCCCCCAATTCTTTCTTATTAGATCTGCCCCTGATTATAGGTGTGATTTGAAAAAAAACAACATATAAAAAATAAAAGAATTAGATACATTAGTACGTCCTCATGGGTTTCCATTAATTGGTCAAGAGCCCTCCAACTTTCAAATGTTGTGAAATAATCCATGTGGTCAATGAATTCTTACATATTTATAATGTTTCCTTTAAAGAAAATGTGAATCACGCATAACACACGTGTATTTCGCAAAGATGTGAAAAATATGTTAGAATAAAAAATTGATCTCTAGTTTAATTGTGATATTTAATCTTGAACTGTGGTACAATGTCTTGTATCTTTTGGTTCAACTATTTTAATTCTAATATTTAAGCTTAATGATCTTTTTGAACAGTAGTAGAATATTCTAAATGAGCTGGACACTTTCTTTCTTCAAGTAGTTTTATTCTAAGCTAATGTCGTGTGGTATAATAAGAGGTGGAAGAAGACTCTTCACAGCTTTTTTTAGTGAGCAAATTAAATTAATGAAAAATAACAATGGACTCCTTGGTGAACATATCTACTCCCCCATGCTCTAAGGTAGATGAGAAGCATGCGCTAACAGATGCGCTCTCTCATTAGTTGAGCGAAAAGCAAAACGAAAAGAGATAACTCCGCAACAAATAGCTATGTAATCTTTACAATCATTGACATTTGAGCTAAATTTGAACCAAAATGAAGATTTGCAATTCATTCCATCGACCACCTCCTTGTAGTCTGTCTCAAGAATAACTTTTACGAGCCTTTGGTCTTGATCCAACTCAGTTCTTCCTTCATCGATACTACTTAATTCTGATTCCCTTGGGCCATAGCTACCCCTAAACGATTTATTCCTTGCTTTTAACTACGAAGACGAGAGCAGTTTCGAGATATGAACTTTTCCATTTTGTTACTTGTTTCACAATTTCGCATGGTATGCACATGTTTTGCGCGTTTCGTGCTTCTACGACGACTATTTATGCACATGGCTCAAAGAAAGAGACATAATCAACATAAATGAAGTGCTCCGTCCGTCCTAAAATAGACTACACAGTTACTATTGGTCTCCGATAACTTTTATTTGTTTTCATATTTTTATTAATCATTTGATAAAATAAAATATTTTTGTCATCACTTAATTACTTTGTAAAACTTTTAATTTAATTTTTAAATATATAAGCACATTTGTTTTCTATATCAATTTATAAATAAATTAAATTTAAAAAAAACACAAGATTTAATCTGAATGGGGGAAGACTGGAACAGGAGTATAAATTATTCTTTTGAAAGTTCTTTTAACTCTTCCTATTTCTTCGTCTCTCACATTCTAACTCTCCCGGAGTACTACTAAATCTTAGCTAAACCCTAAAGCTTCGGTATTGTCATTCTGTCCGACCTTCACCTCCACCATCAGCAGTATGAATGCTCGCTCATAGCTGGCTTGTGAATTGAACGTGTTAATAAAGCCATTAGTTTTGCGAACTATTGCTTCAGGGCAGCTGCTCAGACCATGTTCGGTCTTTTTTTCCATAGATTATTGCGCATCAGACGCAGAAGCAGTACTCTTCTTTTAAGCCCAATTTCACACAATTTGTTGATGTTCGCTGATGATTTGAATTGCGTCTCCCATTGCCCGCTGTCCAGAAATGTCAAATTCAGTACTTCTGGTGGAGTTTTCTTTGATGCCCAAATGATTACGGAACTGGTGCGTGAAGGTAGGTGGGATGATTTTAGACTATCGAGACTTTTTAGCTCTGATTTAGCTCCCATTTGGGTCTCCAGAATCCTGGTGGAGTTGAAACATGAACCTAGGTTAGCTCTTAACTTGTTTGATCGGGCAAAGACCAGGATCTCGGTTGGTCATGCCACAGAGAGTTACTGTCTGATTGCTCACATTTTGTTCTGCTCAAGAATGTACAATGATGCTAGAAATGTTCTGAAAGAATTGATTAGTCTGAACAAGGGGGTGGTACCTTGTTCAGAAATTCTGGATGTCTTGTGGTCAACTAGGAATGTCTGCATTCCAGGTTTTGGGGTTTTTGATTCGTTTTTCAGTGTTTTAGTTGACCTGGGATTTCTAGATGATGCATATGGGTGCTTTTTGAGGCTGAGAAGTTTTAACGTGCTTCCAAAAACACGATCTTGCAATTATCTTTTGGATAGACTTGTAAAGGCTGGAAATCTAGACTTCTCCTGGCAATGTTTTGAAGATATGATTGCTTCTGGACCTTCACCTAACGTGTACACATATAATATAATGATTGGTTATTTGTGTAAAGAAGGGGACTTGGATGCTGCAAGAAAATTATTTGCACAGATGAAAGAGGGCAGGGTTAATCCCGATATAGTTACGTATAATTCTCTTATTGATGGAACTGGCAAGCTAGGGGAGCTTCAGGAAATGACTTCCATATATGAGGAAATGAAGGAAGCTGGATGTTCTCCATGTGCAGTAACATATAATACATTAATTAATTGCTTATGTAAACATAAAGAAATGGACTCTGCATTTGGATATTTGAATGAGATGAAGAGTAGTGGTATAAAACCCAATGTTGTAACTTATAGCACATTTATTGATGCTTTCTGCAAAGAAGGGATGCTGCAAGAGGCTATCAAATTTTTCATCGACATGAGGAGAGTTGGTCTGCTTCCCAATGAGTTCACTTATACTTCTTTGATTGATGCAAAATGTAAAGCAGGGAAGATGGACGAAGCTTTCAAGCTTGTCAAAGAGATGTTAGAATTGGGACTGAAGCTGAACATAGTTACCTACACAGCATTACTAAATGGCCTTTGTGAACAAGGGAGGCTTAGAGAAGCTGAAGACATTTTTAAATTATTATTAAAAAATGGGATCACCCCTAATGCAAAGTCTTATACCGCTCTTATGCATGGGTATATGAAATCAAAAAGGTTAGACGATGCTATGAATATTTTGGAACAAATGAAGGAAAAGAATATCGTCCAGAATGAATTACTCCATGGAACTGTTGTATGGGGACTTTGCAACCAAGGAAAGTTAGAGGATGCAAAGAATTATTTTGATGAAATGGAGGGGCAAGGAATAGAAGCGACTTCTGTGGTATACACCACACTCATTGATGCTTTCTTTAAGGCTGGAAAATCCACTGAAGCGCGTGATATGCTGGATGAGATGCAGAGAAGAAATATTACCCCAACTGTTGTGACATATTGTGCAGTAATTGACGGTTTGTGCAGTTTGGGATGTGTCGAGGAAGCAATTGTTCATTTCAATAATATGCCAAATATTGGTTTGCAACCCAATCTGATGGTTTACACGGCACTTATTGATGGCCTCTGCAAAAATTTATTTCTAGAGGCTGCCAAAACCTTTTTTGATGAAATGCTAGACAGAGGTTTGTTTCCAGATAAAGCTGTTTACACATCTCTGATTGATGGAAACATGAAGCAGGGAAATGTTCAAGACGCTTTGACTTTGAAGGAAAAAATGATCGAGAATGGTATTGACCTTGACCTTTGTGCCTTCTCTTGTTTGATCCAGGGTCTTTCAAGGAATGGTCGAATAGAAGAAGCAAGATGTTTGTTTGATGAGATGATTGAGAAGGATATTCTTCCTGATGCTGTTATTTATGGGTGTCTCATAAGAAAATATTGTGAAATTGGTAATACAGATGGAGCACTTTTCTTGCAGAATGACATGCTGAAAAGGGGCTGTGTGGCTATCAATGTGGCTATCAAAAGTGAATATGATGTTCAAAATACATCTTAATTTGGTGGTTCAGAGATTCTATTTGTTACCAAAATTGTGGGAATAGGTTGCATGACTATCAGTGATGATTTTTATGTTCAAAATACATACCTGGGTGGCTGAGATTGAGAAAATTTGTCTGTAGCATTTTCAAATGAAGGTGAAAAGTGAAACTTGAGTAACTGGTAATGTTTTTGTGCCCCCGCTTCTTGATTTTCAAAATGGGGAATATACTATTTCCCCCATCATCTTTTAAATTGCTGAAGTTTAGTCCCAGCAATGCCAGTGTATTTTTCTTTGACTTTCTACAGGGCTTCTGCAACTTCATTTTCTTTATTATGTTCTCATGAAGGCAAGATGAATGCTATTAAAAGCTCTAAGGAACCAAGTTTACTAGGCTGTGTCAAAGTAGTAAGTGCTGTTTCCTAATTTGTTTGTGTAAATGAAGCATTTATGCTTCATGTGGAAAAATTGTACCTTGAACATCCCTACCCCTGTAAATGCTCAAACACTAATACAGTGATTGTTTAATTTGTCTCGTGAATCAGTGAACGTGAAGATGTTTTTTCCCATGGCATTGACTCTGAAGATGGCATGAAACTTACTCCATATGACACCATACCTCGTCCTCCCAAGTGTCTGTTGTGGTAATGCTTTGGTGATCATTTGAATTCAGTTACATTGCATACTTCGATATTTAGCTGGTAGAGCTTAAATCTATTGTTGGAACCCATCATCACCTGATTAATTGTGATGCTTAATTTGATACTACTCATGTACTCAATAATAGATATATTATTGGAACCCTACTCTCGTGGGGTCCAGCTAGGTCGTTGTTATTGGAAACCATCATCACCTGAGCTTAGATCCTATTATTGGAAACCATCATCACCTGATTACTTTGGTGATCACAATGTTCAGTTTCTTGAAATGCCTTGAAAGAGTACATCCTGATGTATGGAAACTGTGATTTGTTTGTCCTTGATAGGAACATGCAAGTATGTAACTAGATTGCTTACTAATACACTTTCACATTACATATTACTAGTAATTTAAAAAAAAAAAAAACTAATCTAGTAATGGTGATTCCTAAAATGGTAGATGGTTCATATCACTAGTAATGACATGCATTCTGCCTGTTGGTCATACTTTTTCTTTGTAGAAAGGGAATGTGCAGTTCCAGATTTGACAAGAAGTCTCGGGATTACGAGTGCACAAAGAGACTTGTTTCCATATCCATTGATAGTGCTTACAGATCTAGAACTACTTTGATCATCAAGGGGTAAGAAGCCCTACTAACATACTCCCTCTATTCTAAATTAATCTTCATATTTTCTTTCACGGATTGTCCAAAATAATCTTCACGCTTCAGACATCTTTACATTCCTAATAAAGTAAAGAATATGTGTTCCAAAAATCTTCTCTTTCCTCTAAATGAATTTCAATCCCCCATTTTTCACTTTTAAGCACAATTCTTAAACATCATCAAGTTAAAATGTTACAATCATAATGGGACATGAGTACACGTGGTTGCACAAATACTTTACTGTTGTTGTACGTGTTTAATTTGCTTGTGGTGATTTGGTTGTCTTTGTGCCAAACATTTTTGTAGGAGGACTGGAGGAGACACATCGTGGTGGTAGACCTCAAAAGATTTCATGGCTTTGTGTTATGGATACTTTTCAGGGATCCAAACCCATAAACGGAAGACAAAGAAGAATGGGCCGACGGGCTGCTAGCCCGTTGAGGATGACTAGTCTTTTATGCAAAAACTTTCACGGACCTAAGGTCTATGGTGAACCTTCATATAAGCTAAACAGGTATTTGCTTAAGTGATTGAATCCAATCGATTACTTAGTTCCACTACTTCCAGACGAGCAATCGTGCTAAACGGGCCACGGGCCGTTGGGTACATACTCCATACGGACAATTAGGCTAAAGACTAATGGGCCGAATTTAGGATGAGATATGGACAACTGGATTGGGCAATAAGACACTTGGGCTGAACCACATTAAACGATTGAATCCAATCGATTACTTAGTTCCACTAAGACCTTATATACCGAAAACTTTTCTATTCAACTTCCGATGTGGGATGCACTTTAACATTGCCCTCCATATCTTTCACAGAATCTGAAGAAGAACACATCGCCAAGTTCAGGGTATGCTCTTGTTGGATCTTTCTAGAGGAGCAAACCTGCCATGGATTTTTTCTGGATTGGACTTCTTGATGATCAGCTTATTTTGATTTAACTTTGATCAAGAAGAGGAGTTTTGTGGTAGCGCTTGTTGGATACTCCTATAGTTTCTATTTGGATTTCCTTGGAAGGACTGCCAATTCACTTACAGGATTGGAGGGCTCTCTACTCTGTGAGAGTTGATGCTGCCACCTTAAAACATATGCAGGACTTCGGTTGCAAGGAGTTGTAGAAGTTGATGTTACCAAGCCCCCCTGCCGCCACAAAGAATCTATATTCAGTGTGATAAAAGAAACTTTTATCAGAGCATTGGCAATGGCAAATAAAAAAATAGAATGCCATATGGTGACGTGGAGCATTTCAACCAATCAAAAAGAGTCCAGTCACCGTGTGGCGAGTGGGTGGAGTGGCATGTCATGCAGTGGCAAGTAATTATTTTTGTCATTTTTTACACTTTTGTGACATATTTTAATTATGAAAAAAAAAATTTACTTGTCTTTTTTTCATAAAAATATATGCACTTCATTTGTTTAAAAAAACCTTTTTTTCTACAAAAATAAAAAAATAAAAAAAGAAGAATGCCTCGCACAAGACATGCCTTGCGTGGAGGAATGGAGCATTCAAACATGACAAAATAAATAAATAGCATATGTGGCATGGCGTGGTGGGCATTTGCCTCGCCACTGCCAATGCTCTCACTATGGAACATGGGAAAATTGATGCATCTACATTTATAATAGTACTCTATCCTTTTTCACTGTGCTTTGTTAGAGGAATTACGGAATAAAGGGAAATGAAAAGAAAGAGGGGAGTGGAGGGCGAGGGAGCAAGGATGGTAGGGGTAGGTGGGGGGACGAGGGAGGGGGAAGGGAAGAAAAAAAATTGATGTTTTTTCTCGTTCTCCTCATAAAAATTGGAAAAAAATAGCATGTAAATTTATTAAGTACTCCCTCCGTCCCAAAAAGTTTGTTACGTTTAGAAAAAACTGCGTCCCGTAAAGTCCGTTACATTTCTATTAAAAAACTACTTTTACCCCTTACTTTTTCATAACCTACCTATCACATCATATTTTTTTTCTAATAATCTATCCATCACATCCTACTTTTACCCATCACATCAAGGGTATTTTTGGAAAGTCAATACCAAAATATCCCTTCCTTAATTTCCCAAAAAGTCAAACCGTCCCATTTTTTTTGGGACGGAGGGAGTACTAAACATGCAATGTAAATTGAGACAAAGAGTATTATATATTTAATTTAAAATCAAAATTTGTTTAGTTTGCATTGACATTTTTCTTGATGAAAATGATTCCCAATGTTGCATCTCAAAAAATATTTAATCACAATGTTCAAATTTTTAACTTGTGGATCTTTATATGGTCACACTCACGCAAAGTCACAAACACATAGGGACAAACACAAATAAATACTCCCTCCGTCCGAAAATATTCTTCCTATTTTCCTTTTTGGTCCGTCCAGAAATAATGTTCTCATTTCCTTTTTTAGTATGCTTTTTAAGGCTAAATATAAATAATATCTTTTTATTTTATCACAAATCTACTTTTTAAATACTTTTTTAATAATAAAAGACGATTTAAAAGTTTTTAGTATGTGCATTTTTGAAAATTTTGCATTTTTTTTATTATTCCTTAATAAGCGTGCCAAGTCAACACGGGAAGAACATTTCCGGACGGAGGCAGTATAGTTTTACACTTCTACTTGTGTGACATGCACAACATTTTATGCTAGTATAATGTTAGTGTAATAGTTTACAATGACACAAAATGTCAATGCAAATTTTTTTATTACACTAACATTTGATGCTACTGTGAACCGTTAAAGTGCCAGTATATCTCTTTGGAATACAGCTTGGGGTACATTTTTTGGCGTACCCCTAGCATGGTTGTTTGCCTGAACGACTGAGCCAGGATATCAAAACTTGTTTATCTTGGGCACTAGGTGCGAGTCGATCCTAACTTCCATCCATGATTCTGTCTCCTGGACACTGAAATCATAATCCATGTGTAACAGTCTGACTACAAATTAAATATATCATTATATAGTTAAATTTTATAAAAGTTTAATATATCAAAACTGTAATTTAAAATAAATCCAAATTTACTAAATATACCATTTTCGAAATTTATGGTTAAAGTGTAACAATCTTTGGTCAAAAAAGTCAAAGTTTGATTATCTTTTTGGGACAACAAGAGTAATTATGATATAGCAATAGAATCTTGCTATCTAATTTAAAAAGAATTTAGATACGCCTCAATGAAGAAGACCAACCAGAGAGAACAAAGATTTGAGAGAAACATAAAAGAGATAAGGGAAAAGAAATCACCCTAAATAGGACTAAAACATAGAGTTTATGTCTAAATTAAGACTTCTATGTTTTTATCCTCAAAATAGGACTAAACATTACAATTATACCCTTGTTGCCCCTGCCCTCTGTTCTATGTTAACTCTGCTGCCCTCCACCTTCTTTCACTTGTTTTCCTTGATCGAGATTTTTTTTCTTGTTTCTTGTTTTGTTTCGTGTGTTTTCTTTGTTTTATTTTTGTCCCTCCTTTGTTTTTTCGTTTTCTTGTCTGTTAACTCTACTTCCCTCTCTTCTTTTTTTTTTGTTTTCTGTGTTTTTTTCTTTCGTCCCTTTTTTGTTCTTTGTTTTCTTTCCCTCTCCTTCCTCTTGTTTTGCATACAAGTCCCCCCTTTTTCTTCTCTTTTTCATTGTACATGGATTTATTAACTTTCTCTATATTTCATTTTTCCTTGTGCGACCCCATTTATCCTTTTGTGTTTAATCACTTAATACTTAAAGAAATAAAATATAGAGAAAGTGCCAAAATAAGAGTTCTATGTTTTTATTTCTTAAATATGAGTTCGCATTGTGGTAATATGACACTCTACGTAGGCATTTGTTGTAATGTACATGGTCATGCTCGGTAATGTAAACATATTTTAATTCAGATTTCAGTAGCAATAACATGAAAATTCAATTTTATATATTTTCATTTTTTTACTCCCACTTTAGAGAAAGTATTAACATAGGAACTCCATTTTTTACTTCCAAAAAAAGAGTTTGCACTATGGTAATGTGACATGTGGACATGTGGTCCAAGTACTTGTAGTCTTGTGGACATGTAGCGCGATTAATGAGGAAAAAATTGGATCCGCGTCACAAATGTTGCGGAGTATTTTGGAGATTGTGATGCAAAGTTATTCCTATTTTGGGAATTTATGTTTTGAACTCATCGATCCCGATTCCAAAACTTCAGTTCGGTATAGTTCGGGGTGGTTCAATATCAGTTTCGGTATAAATTAGGATTAATACATATACACTCCTATTTTGAGGATAAAACATGAAAATCTTATTTTGATATATTTTCTATGCTTTACTCAGATTTAAAGTAATTTATAATTATTTTTTATATTATGGCTTTGTTTGGCATTGTATTAATAATTTTCTAAAATTTTTTTAGAGTTTGTAAGGCACTATACGAGACGGTGACAGATTGCAACGATGACGGTGACAATTTCAGTAGGTTACAAAAACAGCGGCGGTGACAATGGTAGTACATGTATTTTTTTGTAAATGTCATGTTTTTAAAAATTTTATTTTTAAATACAAGTGTTTTTTAGTATAAGTGTTGAATACATGTTATTTAATTTAACTATTTTAGGGAGTATAGCCGACACAATGTTCATGCTTTTAAAAATGAATTGGAAGAATTGTGTTCTAGTTGAATCAACGGAACTCAAACTTGAACAAAAAACGGAACTTGTACCTGGGGGTAATCCAAGGAACCCGAGTCAAATTTAGTCCTATTAAGGGAAGTTTAAGTTTTGACTCCTATTTTGGTATATTTATAGTGTTTTAGTCCTATTTAAGTCTTTCATGGAAATTGGGGAAATTTGTCTTAAACCTTCCGTATATATCCAAATGAAGCAAGTGGTTCCCAAGTGGCTTCAAGGTGGCTTTATAGTACTCCCTTTGTCTCCCATAGATCTTCCTAATAGCCTTTTTCTGTGTCAACAATAGATCTTCTCATTTTGTTTTTTAACAATTAAAATACCACAACTACCCCCATTTACTTTATTTATTACACCTCACCCACCTCATTTAATACACTCCACCCATTTTCGTTAAGGGTGTTATGGTAAACTTTCACCTTTTTTCAACTCTCCTTAAAAACTATCAAAAGTCAAAATGAGAACATCTTAGGGGGACGGAGGGAGTATATCCTTCCCATTGCATCAAGTATTGTTTCTTAGCTTTGTTGTGCACCTTCTATATTCTTTTGTAAGGAATAGCTCATGGAGTAGGCAGATGGTCAGCAGGTTTGCCCTTGAACCAATAAGGAAAATAAACCGTAGCAGGGGAAGTGCCTTTGAATGTCTTGAGTTGAGATACATGGAAGATTAGACTTCATAAATTGAAAGACATCTATTGTTTTGAGGGGAGTATAATTTTATTTTGAGGGAAACACTACGTACGTTGTACTCTTTTCTCCTCAACAAAGTTTTGTTCCACTAGATTTTCTTACGGAGTAGTAAGTTTTTAACAAGGCAATGTAATTGATTCTGCGATATCAATTAATATAGATACTGAAATTAAGAACCTAACTAGCATTATCCATTAGTATAATGTTGATAATATATAATGAAAGATGATACGTAGCATATCTAAGGAGTGCTAAATATGACAAGCATACCACTCCCGTTAATTAAAAAATTTTATTTTCTTATTTACCTAGGGTTTACCCCTTTTACTTATGTATATAAATACTCTAATCTACAAGGAATAAACTATCTTATTCACAACACGATATAATTTTTAAATATGTAAATTTTATTTTTTTTAATTCCACTCCTATTCTCAATTATATTATACTGAGAATAATTCCAATCAAAAATCATGAAAGGAAACAAACAATTTAAGATAAAACGGAGGGAGTACTTTGTGTTAAACTCATTGTGAACTACCGGGGTATTAAAAATGCTCCGGTAATAAAGATTGTCATTAATGAATAACCAATTCCAAAAAAGTTTTTTTTTTCCATTCAACTACGTTCGTTCAATTTGAAATGTTTTGAAAAACACACCGTAAGTTTTGAGAGAATATAACATTAGGAAAGGGTGAAACAATAATCTCAGATCATTCCAAAAAGTAATACTAATCACTAAAATTCCAAAGGATTCTCTTCCCATAAAAACCACCTTGAATTAATTAATTAATTAGTTAAATACACGCTGGTCGAAAAGGACACAACATAAACAAGTTGCAGCATTTCAGCAAAATGGAACTTCATAAGAGATGATCCAATGGCAACCATTGATTTCAATCCCAGCTCATACAATCTCACGCTGCTATCTGTGCCCTGCCCACCAAAACAGCATTGGAGTTTATCACTGATACAGAAAGAGACTTGCAATGCAATCACTTAAAAGAGCAGGTGTTTTTCATACAGAAACATCAATTAGACTAACCCTCAAAACATGCACAAAAAGACTAGTATTAGAACATACAAAGCTAACTTATTTCGTAGAGATATTGCAACTGTTTCAAGATGAGTTGTCTAGGACTATTCAAGGGGAGATATTGTGTTGCATGTTTTTGAGGTTGTTGATAAAGCAAAGGAAAAATGCCAAGTCTGATACATGGAGCAGAGGAAGAAACGTGAAAACTAGAGAAATATCAAAGTTGAGTCATTTTACTACTCTCATGCACTTAGAAACAATTGGGATATAATAGAAATATTGACTAAAAAATGTGCCATAAAAGAGGATTTGAAATAAACAGTGTTGTTGAAACTTTTTTAGAAAAAAAGGAGAAATGTTACTCATTTCCTAAAAAAGGAATCAAGTGTAAAGCTTATTTTGGGACAAAATATAAAAGGAAAAAATATGAAGTTAATTATGGGACAAATGGAGTATACAACTATACAACAAACCCATAATATCACACGAGAGTAGGGTATGGGAAGAGTGTATGTACGCAAACTTTACCCATACCATGAAGTAGAGAGGTTTTCAAGAGACCCTTAGATACAGAAGTAGAACAAAGAAGCCACTGAAGTATGAATAAAGACAAGAAGCATACAAGTCGGTTCTAAGAACTAGACATTAAGCACAAGGCCTAAAAAACAAAAAATCACACGATATATAATTAGGGAATAATAACACACCAGAAAAAAACTACAAACAAATGAATTAAAATTTGCGTTGCCAAGAAGTACTCCCTCTGTTTTTTAATACAATTCCTCTTTCATTTTTTTCATTTACTTCAAAACACTTTTGCAAAAATGAGTAATAAATCCAAATAAAGTCATTGCAATATATCCCATATCCATTTAACATTGATATAATAAGTTATTTAAGAGATTTGTATCACTTTTTTTCTACAACAATAAGGATAACTCGAAAGTCAAATTACAAAAAAAAACTGCCAAAAGTCAAAATAGTTTTTCTAAACAGGAGTAATTAATAATGAAGATAGCATGATGAAGATGTTTGTGCTGAATTGGTGTGGCATGATTTTGAATTAATAGAATGCAACAAGAAGATACAAAGAGGTGTTTGAAGTAGCAACATTTGAAGATTAATGAAAAGTTGGTTAGGCTGATTTGGGCACCTCAGCTGTTGAGAAGCAAGCTTCCCAATAAAGAGGGTTGAGTCTTGAAAATTTAAGAGTGGAAGATCTGCAGTATACCAAAAATGATATGGATTGAATGTGTAAAAAGAGACTAATGCATTACGACTTAGAGAACATATAGTACATAGTAAAATGAGTATGAGAATGAGAATTCTAGTGAAGGGTCACAAGAGATTGTTGGTTTTTGTAGCAACAACCCAGAGAAATCCCACAAAAAGTAGGGTCTATGAAGGGTGTGTAGACTGTGAATGCAAACCTTACCCCTACACAAAGAAGAAATATTGGTTCTCATAGCAGACCCCAATATTTTGGGTTTAAAGGATTGGTTGTTAATGTACTCTTTGAGTGAGACATTGAATTTTTACATAGTTAAACTGTATTATGCTCCCTCTGTCCCAAAAATAATGCCACAGTTACTCTTTGTTTGTTTACTCATTTTGGTTGACCATTTGATAAAATAAAATATTTTTGTTGCATCTTGTTTTGTAAAAATTTTGATGTACTATTAGATGGTGTAATTTTTACTTTTCATTTTTTACCAGTTTATAAATAAAATGATTCTAAAAGAGATGATATTTTGCACGTCCTTCGAAATGTTGCAAACAATTTGGGACGGAGGGAGTATAAGAGGAATTATGCAGAGGGTTAAGTCTGACACTCTAACCACAAGTGAGCATATTACAACAAAAGAGTGTACTTACTATCTTCTTGAGTTGGATGGAAGCACGTTAATCCTGAAAAAATGGAATTTGCCTTAGATTTTATTCAATGACTTCCAAATGTAACATCTCATAAAACAACAAATATATACTAGACTACTAGTAGATATTAGAGCTTTCCAATACCTGCCACGATGTTTACCATGTGCATTCACATTGCCTCTCCCAAGAGATGATCCCTTTATTTGAGAAGTGACTAAATCATTTTTCTGAGGGTGGATTCCATTACCCATTGGGAGCTGTGCAGGATGAGTTTCAGATGCATTGAGCTCCACTGGACCTCTGGGTTTAGCCAAATTTTTTACATTTGCGATGCCCTCACCCACACTGCAAGAACTATTGGAATGCTGACTTTGCATTGCCACAGACTGAGAAATGGCATCTGCATTCTTCTTCAACCTGTGAGATTGAGCCATGGGCGTAACAGCAACAGAATGTAAACGCGACGGATACAATGATGGGACTGCAGTTGCTGCAGCAACTTTAGCCACAGCTGCAGTGGCTGCTATGATCTCTTGAGCTCCTTCTCGAAGTTGAATATAGTCATCATCAACCACAAACAACTGAATATGAACACCTAAATTAGTACTAAGAGCAAATTATTAGAATTTGGCACAGGTACAAATGAGGATACACATACTTCAGGATGACTTGCTACAAAGTCATCAAGTTTCCCATACTTTTTCTTGTAATCATGCCAGTGCAGGGGTGCAAGCATTTTTGCTAGCCTATTTGGGAGCTGTAAATTACAGAGACAAATAATAATTACTGAATCATTTTTGCAGTGAAAAATATAATGCAAAAACAAACCCAAACAGAAAAATCACTCATTGTAACTAACCGTTGTACTTATCCTAATTTGACCACTAGAACCAGGTGGAATGGTGCGAACTATGCAGGCTAGTAATGATTGTTCATCAAGTAAGATAGGTTCAGCAGGGTTAACAGGATATGCATTTTTCTGGCCCATAGAAACCATGGATTCGGGTAAAGTAGTATTAGCGTTGGAGTTTGTTACTTTCTCGTTTGAGTTGCTCGCCTGCTCTAGAATGTTCAAAGGTGAATACTCAGCAGGAGAAGTAATTTCCCCTATCATCGATCCTTGGGATTCGATCCCTGGAATTGATGAAGAGTTTACACCATTCACCTACATATAAGTCACAAAGGGTATTTAAAAAATGGTACATAGAACATAGGTAGCAACAGGATCCAAAAATCCTACAAAAACTGAAAATTTCAAGTTCTTTATTTCAAAGAGAATACCTGAAACTCATTCTTTTGTACATTAGGATCCAACCTTAGCCCATTATGAATCTGAGAGGAGATATATTGCAAGGTCTGCTGATTCTGGGGACCAGGAAGGAAGTTTTCACCAACAGATTGAAGAAGTTGTTCAGAATTAAGACGGAAAAGATAGTTATGTAACAAAATATACACTACTTCCAAAAACTGCCATATTGATTTCCTTACTTTCTGCTCCACTTCATTTGAATGAGCTACAGAATCTGGTGATTCAATCTTGTGGATAATATTGGTATCCGGATGCTCTGAATGAAAACCATTCCCGTTGACAGAAGTTTCATACTGATAGCTAGAATTGGATCTCAACAAGGTTGAATCAGTTTGGAGAGAAGATTGATTGTGGGAAGACAACTCAGAACCATCAGGTGCAACCTTGAACACAAACAAAGTATGCTTAACAGAAAACCATACAGATAGATCCTAGAACTGATACCAAAAATATTAATCTGAAACTACCTGTTGGTTAGGCCAATGTTGAACTGATGGCATAGCAGATCCAGGTACAGAGTGGAAATGCACAACATGAGACTGAGGAACAGGAGGAATACCCTGTTGGTGCATTAAAAAGGGGTGTAAAGCAGTAATCTGTCCTGGAGAGATGTAGGTTGGCATCCCAAGTAAAGATGAAGGAGCAAGTGAAAGACCATGGAGATGATCATTCTGGTATTATTAAAAAACATATATTACAATAAATACTTCTCAAAGAAATCCGGAATCCATGAACTACAAATAATAGAAAGAGAAAGTTTGACCTGAGTTGATGCATTCATTGCAGATAATGAAGAATCACTTTCATCATGTCCATTGGATAAGTGGCCAGATTTTACACCTGAAACATCCTTTCCACTATCAAGAAGTAGGCCACTACTTCTCTTTCCAATCTGAGCAGTATCTTTAGAGCTTGATTTAGACACTTGAGAGCCATCAGAGATAGTGTTATTCCTTTCTTTAGCCTCTGTCAATTCTGCCTGGAGCTGTTGTATATGCAAATGTAGGCGCTCCATCTCAGCAGCCTAAAATTTAAAACAGTTGTTATTATTTGATACTGAACAGTACCATATTCCTAATAACATTAAATATATTATTACACATAGACAATAACAAATCACATACCAATAACAATCACCAAACATAACCTCTAAAGAGAACCAGCAAGAGAATGTTCAAAAAGAAAAAAGCTATAAAAGCATGTTGATGCAAAAACCTGTCTCTGGCAACCAAGCCACAGCTGGTTACACTGTTCTGTTCGTTCACGTAGTTCAGCTTGCTGCAATGCCTCAATTTCCTGAAATCGGCTCATCCAAGCCTGAGCCTCCCTCATTTGTTCATCTCTGTAAACAATGTTTTCCTGAGTAATTCTGTTCTGAAAATTGACGAAGATGAAAATGGTCAGCCTGAGATAAATTCCAAATTTTAGCAACTAGCAAGATGCTACATGAATAACATGATAACACAGTTTAAAGAAATATAGTAGCCATAGCATTCTAGACATATAGCTCTTAAAAAAGGTAACAACATTACATACTGTAAACTGATGGAAATTCATCTTAAATTGAGGAGAAAGAAACTAACTTGTTCCTGTAATTCCAAGAACTGCCTTTCTTTCTCTTGAATATGTTCCTGAAAATCGTGAATCTGTTTTATGTACTGAGCTCTTTCAGCTTCAGAGTTGTCTCTTTCTCTCCTATACAATCACGGGCTTCAATTAGGTCATATCACCATCACACTAGGCAACGACAGATTGAAATGATTTTGGAGATTAATGCAGTTAGTTACTACATGCTACAGGAAAAAAATTCCAAATCCATCAAAGCCTGAAAAGTTTTTACATTCTCACTAACAAAAAATCCATGTGGATAAGTGATGAAATACTAATCAGGCGCCCTTTATGCTTGCATCATTAAAGAAAACATTATAATGGCTACCGTGCATATAGCTAAAACACAAACTTTTACATGTAGGTTTGCAGTTCTTTGCTTTGTTCTCTAAGTAGGTCCTCTTTTGCCCAAGCCTGCTAAAATAAACGAGAAGCATGAGATTCAATAAAATATAAAGAATACTTAATAAAAGTAGAATACTCCACGCCAAATTCAGTATAGTAAAACAATCAAACCAACCGCCTCATTGTCCAATCTTATTGCATGCAACTCCCTTTCCTTCTCTTCAAGTCTGCTTTCCAGCTCATATATTGTCTCTGCCCTTTCTTGCAGTTGCTCCTTCACAGCCATTTAAAGTAATCAAAACAAAAAAAAATAACATTAGTTGCATGCTCACGGAAACAAAACACAGGTACCTACATGCATTAATACTATGTGGTACATTGAGAGTAAGAATATATGTATGCTTTTGCAAATACCTGAAGCTTCGCATTGGTGTTTGCTTGTTCTTTGACTTGAGCGTCAAAGGTATTTCTCATCTCCAACATCTCAGTTTTCGCAATGAGCTGAGCCTGAAGCTCAGTCTCCATCCTTTGCAACTCCTCTCTTTGGTTCACCACAGTATGAAGTCTCTGCTGCAGAAGATCATTGTCCGGCCCACCATCAAGAATAAGGGAACAAAAGCCCACATCAGATGGATTTCTCCCTTGCTGCACCTTTTATGAACACACAAATTATCTTCCCCCGTCAAGATAGAGCCTCAGAGATAAAACCCTAGAAGAGAAAAAAAATGTAATAAGAAATGCTAAAAGAAAAGTTAGCTTCATACCTCGTATATCAATCTCTCATCGGACTGCCCAAACTTGGAGCGCTCCTTATCCGAACGTTCCTGCAGATACACGTACCGAACACAATGATAGAAAATTATCCAGAAAATGTAAATCAAAGCAGATCAGGAAGAAAGACAATGCGGCAGATAATTCGGGGGGAAACGCACCGAATGGTCGGAGACTACACGCCACTCCTTGCGAGAAGGCTGAGGGGAGGAAACGGGGGTAGAAACATTGCGTGCGGTGGCAACACCAGCCGCGGCCTCCATTGGCGATTGAATCGGCGCTTTGGCCTGGACTTCAATTTTTCAGAAACCCTAGATTCAAAACCCTTAACGTTCACGATTGAAATTGGAAGAGAGAGAGAAAGAGAGAGAGGAGTGAAGTCAAACTGTGCGAATAATGTGTGAGGGAGTTCAGTTTGAATAATAATGGAACTCAGGGGAGCAAACTCTCGTCGAAGCCGGAAGGTGACGCTCCCGCCATTTATATGAGAGGAGATATTGTGCAGGAAATTCAGGGAGGACGGACCATGGTACACTTACACCAAAAGTTGGTTACTTATTTGTACCTCGCAGCTATACACAAACATTTTGATGGTTTACACTGACACAAGTGTTGGTGCATTAACAAAAATTTAAAGAAAACTCCCTAAATAGGAGTAAAACATACTCCCTCCGTCGCTGAGTGTTTGTCCACTTTCATTTTTGCACACCATCCAATGCACTTTTTTAATCCATTTTATCTTGTAATTTGTATATTAAAAAATTATAAAAATTATATATTAATAATCTATATGTTAAGACGAATCAAACAAGATCACACATGACTATTTTTAGGCTTACACATTGAGAGTATTTGATGAGTCAAAGTGCTTAGATGAATAGTTCCAAAAGTCAAAAGTGGACAAACACTCAGGGACGGACCAAGTATGTCATATCCACAAAATAAGAGCTCAAACTTAAACTTTTCTAAATATGAGTAATTAATTAAGTAATAAAGAAAACCTAATAAATAGTATTAAATCTCAAATTAATCTTTTCTCTCCCCGGTCCATCTCCTCAGGGCCACCCCAACATGCCTCTCTCTCTTCCCTCTCTCTCATTTTTGGCCACCACCCTTACGATTTTGAAATGTTGCTTCCGTCAAATCCACCCCAAGTGCATGCAGTACATCACTGCCGCCCCACTCCTTACCATCTCGCCACACCAGCTTCCCCCTTGTAGATCTGTCACGAACAATCCCATGTAGATCCGCCGCGGGGCGCCGCCTCTATCTCTCCCCCTTGCAGATCTACCACACCGCCTAATTCCATCATATCTTAGATTACCGTCAGTCGCGATGACTATGATTTTGATTTTTAATTAGCTTCCAAATGCTCTATAATTGAGACTACGCATTGTAGAAGTAAAAAATATTTCCAACTAATTGCATTCATCCTTTTTTTTCTCTGAAAAATTGTATCTTCATTAGGCATTAATTTTGGTTTGGTGTTTTCTTTTCATTTTTGTATTTGATTGTTTTTCATTTAAATTTTTTTTGTTTGATTGTTTTCCTATTAAATTAGTTGTGTTTAAATTTTACTCCCAATTTCAGCAAAATTTGGTGATAGTAATAATAAGAAATTTGACATTGTATGTTGGCAATCTTGACATTTCACTTTCTTTTTTATATTTTATATTGACATGTTTGGCATTATGCAATAACATGTTTGGCATTATGCAATGACAGATTTGTCAGTATGCATTATCGTCTTTGACATTGTAGCTTTGGTTGACATTGTATTGGACTTGAAAGCTTTCTCCCTTGGCAGCAGAAAATGGGGGCGATGGAGGTGGCATCCGCAACAAATGGGCATGAGAGCTGTAGATCGTGGTGGCGATGACGGCGATAGTGCCGACTGTGGCAGTGTTTGTGGTAGAAACAATGTAAATGATGGCCGCATTTAATAGCAATGGCAGTAAGAGATTGTGGCGATGGAGTGACGGGAACGAAAGTACCGACGATGGCGGCAAGAGTGGCGTTAGTGACATGTGCGGCAGGGGCTGTAGCTAATTTAGAATTTTTTAAATTGATAAAATGTTTTTAATTTCATTGTAATATGAATATAACTTCTATTTTGGTACATGGTCGATGTTTTACTTCTATTTCACTCCTTAACTCTAAGCCATTAGATTAATTAAGTTAATTACTCCTATTTAGGGGATTTTATGTTTCAACTCTTATTTTGAAGATATGTCATATGTTTTACTACTACTTTGGTCCTTCTCTAAAAAATTTACACGGACACTAAGTGTTGATGCATTAATAAAAATTAGTTTTACACCAATACAAAATGTTGGTGTAAACCTGCAGGGTATAAAGTAGGGTACAAAAATTTGGGATACAAATAGCTTTATCCATTTAGGAATCCTGATAGTTGCCCACTTTGGTGCCTATTCAATATCAAGCATGCTACACTTACACCAAAAAGTATACTCAAAGTTACACCAAAGGTATATATTAAAATTTGGATGATTCACACTGACACAAAGTGTTGGTCTGTTAACAAAAATTTGAACTAACATTTTGTGTCTGTGTGAACTATCACCCTAACAATATACCAACACAAAATGTGGGTGCACACCTGTAGTGTACAAATTGAAGTACAAATCTTAGGTACAAATAGCTTAATCCATTCAATATTTTAATCCTCACATCAATTTTTTTTAAAGTCAATAAATATTCAATTTAAATTTTAAAAAATATGCAGTATTTAAAATCTCAAGATATTTAATTGGTATTTTAAAAAAGAGTTTATTGTACCAACACCCTTTGTGATATAGTTAATGTGTACTCTTACCCCCCTCATAGTTTCAAAACCAAAATTGTTGCCTCAGATGGTTCTAATATTGCTACACCAATGCCCCTTTGGACAAAAATATCTTTCAAATATTAAGTGAATAACTCCGTTGTCTCTTATGATTTTAGAAATTGGCGCCAACGCCCCTCCCCTTTTTCTTTTCTTTTTTTCTTTTTTCTTTTCTTTTTTTCATAAAGAGAAGAAAAATGTTTGTCAAATAATGAAAAGTTGTTTTTTCAAACCTTAATTTTTAAAAAGTTTAAAAAAAACATATTTGTCTTTGAAATAAAAAGTGAAATAAAAAATTTAACAAATACTTCGTACTTCATTTATCAAATCAAATATTTTTCATTTCTTGTCTAAAAAGTTTTTTATCTTTTTGAATATGTCACGACCAAAAGAATTACTGAGTAATGTCTTTTTAATATATATATATATATATATATATATATATATAGATTTTGGTTCTGGTGAGAACGCGATCTTAGGAGAGAAATGAGAATGAATCTGGTGCTTTAGATTGTGCGATCTAAGGATCAGGATTGCATCAAAATTAGGTGCAACAAAATGGTTCGAAAATGCATCACGTCGAAATGCATCATAATCCTTCGAAAATGCACTATCTCAAAATCTGAGCGTAGGATGCAATCTGAGCCACACGATGCATCAGATCCAAAGCCTAGATTTCATTCTCATTTCTCTCCACAAGGTGCATTCTCACCAGAACCAGCCCATATATATATATATATATATATATATATATATATATATATATATATATATATATATATATATGGATTGACTCCAGTGAGATGACACCTTATGGTAAGATGACATGCTTCAATGAGATGACACAACACACAACACTACCAATGAAAAGCTCACCAACTACCAATGCAAAGCTTACCAACTGTCAATGCAAAGCTCACCACTTTTTTTAAATAAAAAAGTTAAAAAAATAACACCACCACTCAACCACCACTCAACCACCGCTCAACCACCGGTCCACGGCAATAGTGGGAGTCATCGGTGGTGGACATTAGTCATGGGCGGTCAAAGTGTAAAGCTCACCAACTATCAATGCAAAGCTCACCAACTGTTAATGGAAAGCTCACGAAGGAACAATGCAAAGCTCACCACTTTTTTTTTAAAAAAAGAGCTAATAAAGCAAAGCTCATCACACTACACTACAAAGCTCACCAATGGACAATGCAAAGCTCACCTGGAAATAAAGCAAAGCTCACCACTTTGAACCCCAAAACTCACCTTTTTTTAAATTTTAAAAATTTAAAAATTAATTAAAAATAAAATAAAAACACCGGTCAACCACCGGTCAAGGGCGGCGGAGCAGTAGTGGGGGCCGGAGCCCGACGGCGGCAGCCGGAATCCGGCGACGGCGACCGGATTCCGGCGACCGGCGCCCGGCGGCGGCGACCAGCGATGGCGACCGGCGGCGGAGACCGGCGACCGGCGGCGGCGGTGACCGGATTCCGGTGACCGGCGGCGGCGACAGGCGACCGGCGGCGGCGGCGGCCGGTGGCAGGCGGCGGTCAATGCTGGCGGTCAACAGTCAAAGTCCAGTCAACACCCTTTCCTTTGATTTTTTTTTTGGAAAAAAATTCAAAGTGTTGAAAAAATATGGTGAGCTTTGCCTTACACTTTGGTGAGCTTTGTAGTTTTCTTTGGTGAGCTTTGCAGTGACCAGTGGTGAGCTTTGTGTCATCTGACCGAAGCATGTCATCTCACTGGAGTCAATCCCATATATATATATATATATATATATATATATATATAATAATATATATATATATATAATAATATATATATATATATATATATATATATCTTTGTGTGTGTGTATGTATGTATGTATATACAAAGTTAATTATATATTAACAATTTTTCTTTAATATATATATATATATATATATATATATATATATAGTTAATTATATATTAATAACATTTTTTCATGGGTGACTTAATTTTTCTTATTCTATAAAAGCAGTTTTATATACTTTTAGTTTTCTTTATTTCTTCTTTTTTCTTTTATTTTAATTTTGATTAAAATAAAAATATAAAATGAATGAACATAAAATGAGAAATGAGCTTTAGTGAAAAAAAGAATATTTTATTAATTTTCGGTTATGAAAAAGAACCAATAAGGACCTCTTTTGGACAAAAAAATAAAAATATTCAATTTGAGACCAATGGAGTGTATGTTAATTCTTGTTATTTAATTAATTTTTATTGCAAACACAAAAAAAAATGATTTATAAAACATCATAAAAATAATTTTAAAAGAGAAACTAATAAACATTTATGAAAAAAGTAGTAGAAAAAAGAAAAACAATAAAAAAGAGGCATTTGTGCCAATTTCCAAACCATAGGACGTAGTGGAGCTATTCACATAATATTTGAAAAATATTTTAGTTTAGATGGGCATTGTCGTAGCAATATCAGAACCATGAGGGGAAACGACGTAAGTTTTGAAACCATAGGGGGTAACAATGCATATTTACCAAACCATAGGGGTCATGCTGCAATAAACTCTTTTAGAATATGTATCAAAATTAAATGGTATTTGATGGGTGTATTTACACCCCGACCGTGATTCGGGCCCGGTCAACAAGAAACCCACCTGGGTGGATTTTTGGATTTGCACGATAGTATAAAAGACAAGAGAAGTTGACCAGGT